GTTATTTAACAAATTAAAATGAAAATGGAGGGTTATATAGATGTGATAATATATATTGGAGATATTGAGGGTGAGTAAAGGCAGATATTATAGGGCAAGAGACCTACCTCCTTCTCTCCCTTTGACTCACTTTTCCCCATTATCTTTTCTCAGTTTCATGACATACTAAATTACTAATACTATACCAACTCTCTGTTTAGGCAGGCTGTAGGGTTGTTTACGAGTTATTTATTTTTTTGCCTAATTACTAAATGGAATATAACATACATACCTTTGATCTATCCAATAACATAACAAGTTAATAATAATAACCAACAATTTACGAGTATATATAAAACATATAGGTGTATTTATTTTAGAAGAAAATATTGTTCGGGATATTATACATTATATAAACCACTACTAGACTAATCACAAGGTGTTAGTGTTATGGTTGTGATTCAGATGACTCGCGCATACATTTATTAACTAAACGAACGTAGTAAACAATACAAACCCAATAATATTGAACATGGGAGACTTTTATTGTAGAGGTGATAAACAATCCTGAAACCACATTTTCAATCCATACGTGGGTTTGAATTAACCACGGGTTCCTCCTCATCGTTAATGGGCCGGAGACAGAGGCATTGGAGCCAGTGGCAGCAACCGTGGAGAGGACCGTCGTCGACGTGGACGACAACAACATATTAAACAAATAAGCCAACATAGAAACCGAATTAGTTGGATCAGGAGTATTAAACCAGGAAACACGATCCAAAACACGAAATAAATTAGTAGTATATAATCAATCATTGTATCATCGGATCGAACCAACGAGACGGCGAAGAAAAACGCCGCCGATATACAAAAAACCGCCACCACCATGAAAGTTACCAGGATCACCATTATCATTCGGCTCCTAAAAAATAATAACTATAACATCAGGTAATTAATTTTTTTTTTATCTGAAAACCAAAAAAGTCGCACTAGTTTTCCAATCAAATAGTTACATAATTATATATGGTTTATGAAAACGATTTGTCATAGTCATTTAGTCCAATTAAATTGCACGTCAATTTTTTGTTTACCATGTAATTTTTATTTTTTTAATTTATCTGAATTGTTGAATTAATCAAAGTCAACCATTGAAAGTATTGTGTCGATATATACTTCGGAGTTCGGATACTTAACCATAGTCAACATTTTAATCTAGGCTATATCACACAATTTACATTACTACAAAATAATTTTCCAAAGGTAATCGATTATATAAACAAGTTATTCTAGTTTACCTATCGGCAACCTTACTATACGAATGTCTTTCAAAAAAAAAAAAAAAACCTTATTATATGAAGTTGCAAATATGTATAATTTATCTACTAGTACCTGAGTCGTAAACCGCTAATGACAAGGAGAATTAGACTCATGGAAGCAGAAAACGACACCGTACTGCTAATAATCATCCCTAGATAGAGTCCACGCTTCGAACTCTCGTGTTCCAATATCGCTGTTCCGGCTTTTACCTTACAAACCGGATCCGTACCGGTTTGACCTCCGGAGGAACAATTATTGTCACTTTGCCAGACGCCACCTGGAGGATTAACCATAACTTGAAAGCTCATACCGGCTATAACCGTTGCTGCAACCATCAAATTTCCTCTGGTTTTCTCTAACCAATCGCCTTGGCGCTTTAAGTACTTTACAAACCATTCCGATGATTCTTGGTGTTGATGATCTTCTCGACCGTTGACTTCCATGATTCCAAGAGATGTATATCTTACAGAGAGTTGTTTCTTGCTTTTATATAATGTGTAAGTTTTTTAATTTGTTCGTCGAGGTGATAAAGGAAAAAAAGTATGAGATTTGTGTTTTTAGGAAGGAAGATTGAAATTTATGATTTTTATCAAGAAAAGTCTTTGCTTGAAACTATATTTATGTTGATTACGGGATTTTAAAACTAACATTTGTCAATTTTACGATCGAGTCGACGATAGTGATATTAGGGAAGAAGAGTCGTCTGTTTTTGTTTTGTTTATAACAAGAGTTCTATGTTTTTAATTAGGTTTAGAATACTAGTAATCGCACAACATCAATTTCGACTAAGGGTATTTTTCTTTTCAATTCTCTCAACGATATTACTTTCACAGTATAGACTACATGTGTATAATGGTTCATTACGGTAATGTGAATGCTTTGGAC